CGTTATCTTATATCTTTTAACCATATCAAATATATTGTCCTATCTCTAGCCTAAGCTTGTTCTCCATCATGTATTGGTAATTGTTATGATGCAATGAGTTGGTGTAGACGATGATATAACTTCCACGTAAGATCTTATAGATTAGGCAGTTGTATCATGACAAATCTACAATTTTAGGATTAGATCTCTTATTCGAGCAGTACCAATATCATAGTAGACCATAGTTCACAGATACATAACATATCCGATGACGAAAAATTATGAGTAATAATTGACACCGATAACCTTTTCTTCCCGCTTTCTGAGCATATACAGGAACTGTATATAACATCACTATGAGTATTATAATAATTCGTGAAGTATTCTTCATAAGTATAACGATGTATGCTTGTTTCAGGCATGATAAATCACCTACGTCTTTAGTGAACACCAATTTGTGATGTATCTGTTATAGAAAACGCTAGCGGATTTCTGTAGACAGAATCCGCAACCACTGACCAAATGATAGACAAAGACCACACGCATATTGTCGAGTAATATCTAAATATTGCTTTACAATGATGCAGCTATTGTATGTTAACTGTGAATTGCTAATGGTGTTATAAGGTTTCGAATCAAAATTTTCTCAAATTTCATAGTACTATTTGAAGTTTCTGATTCCTTTCATTTAAAGCCTGTTATTCCTTTGCAAATGCTGAGTACCTAGATGAAATTCTAGGATGATTAGAAAATAAAGAACTTTGTTTACAACAAGTAAGACACTTATAATTACATTCTCTGAGCTTTTATCCCATTTACTTATCGATAGTGATACTCATAACGGAATTAAACTCTTTGTTTCGTTGTTTTTCGAAAATGCAATAAGTTGGGAACCTACTGATACGTTTCCTGATATCCAACTTATGGATTTTGCCAACTGACTGAAAGGCTCAAACCGTCCTAATAATTTAGTATATACCGGTCAACAATTTAACGAATTTCTGGATATGGAAAGTTACTTGGACAAGCAATTTACAAGTTGGGGATAACTGTATTCCGTCTTGCCTACTGTCGCGTTTATTCATCTAATGAAATATTCGAATTTATCTATAACAACTGTACGCGGTATTTACATTCGTAGCGTTTCAGATCTCGTGAGTGTTTGGCGAAAGTTCGTATTCGTTTGAACCATAAATCCTCCTGGTATTCATTCTAATATGCTATCATAGTGGAGAAATATATATATATATATATATATATATATATAAAGCAATTTCTTGGCGTAACTTCCAAACTGATGCAGTGCTACAAGTTTTCATGTCCAAACGGGTAATTATAAGGCACATCTAGTTGTTTCTAATGTCGACAAACAGTTACCCGTTAAGATTATCGATGTACCTCCCCACGAAACTACGAAGACTAAAATGGAAATTGGGCAAAAGTTTATTGATGCATTGTTATCAATGGTATAGCAAGAATAACATCTGACGCAGAAAAATAATTTTACAAGTAGTATTTATAGTTAAGCTAAAAAAACAGTCATAAAGAACTTCTCATAGTAGACAGTTCCTATCACGTCTCCACACTTTAGCATAGTCCGAACAATGTTTTTAATTATAAAGAAAACGATGCAATGATAAAGATTAAGGAAGCTAGAGTCTAGCCTATTGGTAATTCTTAGGTAAAAATTGTTGACTTTTCTCTCCACTAGCACTGCGAGGCGCTCACCATATTTCCAAAGAATCTGTTGTTTGCGCACTATTCGGATTCGTTGGATTCGTACATACTGTTTAATTTGCCTGGTGAATGAAATTACTTTGTCATTATGGAACAACCTGAATTGTACTTATATACATTCACCTGTGAAGATCTGAGCTATCTTAGTCTTCACATCAGCAGCAGTGACCGTCTTAGCTGGTTGATCCCTAATACCTTTTACTACTTCATCTAGCGTCATCGCCCCAAAACATTCTTCATCTTGTGAGGACAGTGTTCTGTTTCATGAGTTATAAACCATCAATGGGCTACTACAAGGATGATTGTGAAGCATGTCGAATGATTTTATAACATATTCTTCACTGTCCAAAGTTACATGATACTTTGACTGGCAATTCAGAAACGTAAAGCATAAACATCACATGTTATTTAAAAATCTCACGGCTTTCGATTCACTGCTTGACCTTTTGGCTTACGCTTACGACCAAATGTGCACTGAAATATCACAAACATATATTTGAACCTCACGTTTTTCGACATGAATGTAATGTAAACGGGGAGTCTGAGAACGGATAAAATTACTATTACCTACTTTATAGAATCTGTTTAGCACACTATGGAATTCAGTACAACTTCCGAAACACCTGATTAGTATTATAAGTTGAAACGACTGGTTGAGATATTTCTTGAACATGAAGCACTACAATCAGTACTGAGTAATTACAAAACAAAACAAGCGAATAATACATGCAATAATACTTTAATAACTGCCGGAATTATTAAGGACATTTAGGGTGTAATCTTAAAATTTAACGGTTATTTGACATTTCGTCCCAAACTCTGCGTAAAATAGCAATCTAACAAAAGTTCGTGTATCTATATCTGTTTAAAAATATTTATTGCGCTGCCTTCTGAATCTTATAAGGCTTTAGGCAAAGGCGGTGATGTTCAGTGGAGTGATTGGTATCCCAGATCAAGTTAAGAGGCAATAATCGAGCCAATGTTTAAACTACAAAACAGAAAAAGTTAAATAATTGGTTTTCTCAATGATTTTGTGGTTTTATTGCAGAAAAAGACTACTTAAATATGAGAACACTGAAAATTCATGCAACCTAACGGACACCCAATAAACGTATAACAACTGAAATGTGGAATGACCGTCTCATGCTGGGTTGTTTAAGATCATTTGAACGAAATGATGAGCGGTTTTAAGTGAACCTGTCTTTTTAACTGTCCTCGGATATATGAAGTGAACGTATTGAGAATCTTTGACGTGTTTCTCTTACTTTATACCATTATTCACTAAAGTGAATTAAATTGACAAATATATGCAAAATCAGGTGTGATATGTATTTTATTTCTATCACCGACGTTCAACCAATTGACAGTGAGACAGTAGGTGCAAAATTGGTGGGCTAGGCTTTTCGACCCAAAAGTTATAGCGTTAACTTCATAACATAAAATTTCTCCCCCATTAAGCGAGTGCGTTTCATTATCACATTTCATTTCGCTCCATATTCGTGCATTCTCATTCACTCATCCAGAGTCCCTTTAGTGTTATTGCATAGCAGACGCATTTTTTCCTCCGATTTAGAACTTTGTTATACGCCTGAAAAGCCGTCGATCTTAGTAAGACAGACTGTTTTTATTACGTCTGGGCCATCTATCAAAACAATGGTTCAATAGGATCATAATTATTCATAATTGTCTGTTTGTGGTAGTATTTTTTACCTCGTATCTGGCGTTCACAACGCATTTGTTATCACACCGAGTAACTTGTCATCTGCTTAATAAAATGGCTGTTTAGCGAAGCGTTTCTAAACATGAATTGTACGTCTTCCTAAAGTAAGCCTTTCCTAAGCGAACTTTCTAACTCCTGATGATAACATGATTTAAACTATTCAAGGGCTGGAAAGTTAGCAATGCTGACGTGGACATAAGTTTGAAGTCATATTCATGGAAGTAGCAAACTTTGTTCTTGATATTCATCTTATGATAACTTATTACACTTGCACCCAGAAATCGCCACTCTTCATATTCGACGAGAATTTCAGATAAACATCAGTCATATATCCGCAGCCTCTTAGTTTTACAGTTTACGAATCTTGCTTTCGCAGGAGCTTCCGTTTATTTGATTCAGGAGGCTCTGAAACACGTCAATACATATTCGCTATTCTTTTATTTTGTTGCCCTTGCACATAATTCAAATTATTATTCAGAACTATTTATTCCAACGATATACTACGTTGTTATACTCATAAATTATAGACTGTTTATCACACTGTTTTCATATTAATGTGAACTATTCATGTGAATATACTATTTCACTGCCTCGCATTCACGTTATGAAGGTATCTCTTTTACACACTTATAAATTTTCTCATAATCACATGCGAACATGTCTACTTATGTGCGCAAATATGCAATATTCACATATTTTTTAAAATGTGTACTATAGTTTCGTATCGTATGCTCACCTCCATATGTAATTACATGTTCTGAATTATTTGAACTGGTTTATAACCACGATGTGTTTCTGAGATGTCTTAAAAACACTTTAGCATGATGTACACAAAGGATTTCATAGATAATTATTTGTAGGCAACGACTACTCCAGCTTCATGCATTGCGAATAAAAAATGTATATACATGAATTATTAGGATTTTCATTCCCAGCTAACATCGACTTAAAGGCGGCCTTGTTGTGACCTACAACATCCTCAACGCTTCTGCACATCCCCTTACACACCTACTAAGGCTTAGCCATAACACAAACCTTAGTGGTAACACCCAGAAAGTGAGATACAACACGGAATAACGGACCGTAGTCGCACGTTCTCCACAAGAGTAGTCAAATGTTGGAATTCGCTGCCGTCTGAGTTAGTACAAGCGACCTTCCAGGATTACTTTAAGAGAAAACCTGACATGTTCTTAAGGACTAAGGACAATATATTGCTATGATTTACCATTTTTTGAATTGTCCTCTTTCATCGTTGACATGAGTGGGTTCTCACTATGAGGCTACTAGATACAGAAGCCCGTTATGCGAAGGATTCTTCTATTCCGGTTGGAAACATTTGAACTATGAACCAAGAACAAATTTCGCACATGAATCATTTTAGATTATTTATATGCTTTAATTGTACCTATTTTCAAGTAAAAAACACTTTTTTTTAAAAATTCAGACCATTTGCTTTGTTATATTATTAAATGTCGAAAAACGTAAACCCCTAAATTTTAAGAATGCGGTGTTTATGAATTTTATGCCAGTTTACTGTACCGAAGTAATTGAGTAAATACTCTATTGAAAAAATTACTCTCTAACTTAGTAAATATTTTCGCACAATTCTACTTATTTTCCTTCTCATTTCTAAGATATATCGCTACACATACCACGTGGTAATAGTACTGTAGCATTAACAACGTCCTTCGATTAAAAAATTATTGATTGGTTGAGTCGCTACTTATAGTTGGGCAGTTACAGGTAAAGATTGTTGAGGTGAGAATTTATGCGCATCTTATGAGGGTATTTTCTCCTAGGGAAATTCCAGGGAGCTGTTCGAGTTTCTCATTACAGTACAAATTAAGATCTCTTCATATGAAGATATCTATCCTATTCTAATATTAGGATGATATATACCCATCTAAATGGTCCACGACAAATTTCTAGAGGATCTTCGAGTATGGAGTGCCAAGTGTAAAAGTTTGTCAATTATAAATAAAACAGCAGAATACCTATTCCTCATGCTGCGTCACACCGAGTCCATTAAGGATGGTGTTATTGACACGGGTTCTTCTAGTGCATCCCTCACGTCAAGTACTTAATAACCACTGAGCTCTCTATTTCTGAAAAATTCGTGTCTTTCCAAGATCATTAACATTTTCATCCTGTCAAATATAATTATCCCTCTGCGACATTACCATTTAGTACTGCTTAGTAACTGAGTTAAAGGTGCTAAACCGGCTGCATTTTTCGTAACAATGGCAAATAGTTTTCACATGAGTGACTCCAGATACCTTGGTACAATGCGATTCACAAATCCCTGTTTGAAATGCTTCATCCTAAGTGTACATTCACAGCCTCCACTACTATAATCTTCATTGTCTTTATATTCTAACAAGATTCCCATTAAAGTGAACGGTTGTGGTTCATCGAAGTATTCTAAGAACACTAATCATTGATGATAGTAAGCCCCAAGATCCTGAAAACGTTAATGACTTTTGGACCTACACAAACCACTGAATATCATGCAGATTGTTATTCAGACGTAACTCCACTAGCTTTTAGATTAGAGAAGCTTTCTCTATTTACTGCCAGCTCTTGTTTAGGCACCCAGACAAGGTCATAGTGCCCATAAAAACTATGGTTACAGTTAGTAACACACCAAGTATCACCGCGTGCTAATGGAGTGTGGCAACTGATGTACACATGTGCCAAATCACAAATATTCTTTTGCTTTTTTCAACGTGAGCATTAAGCTTTAACGTGCTTACTACCCTTTCTCAGAATTAAATCGTCTATTTTATTTTTCAGTGTTTAATCATTTGTACGATAATTTAATCGTGTAATGAGATTTTTCAGTCAAGAGAAGAAGATCCAACTGACTCTCGATTGCGGACAGAAGGAGATTGGCAGCACTAGGTGCCATCAATGCCATATGGTATACACAGTTGGTGATAAAGAAGATATCAAAGCTCATAAAGAGTATCACCAAATAAAATTATTTCCAACCGTCCGGGTAAGATATCATATAATTGACATAGATAAATTACTGTGTAGTAGATGGTGTCGTTTTCTCCGTGAGTTCACTATAATATGTAACTAAATAATCAAGAATGACTCACTGGTCTGTACAGTAGATTATACGCCATATCTTTTATAAAAAGATAACACGACCTAGCTTTTCAAACCTTTGAAGATAAAAGTTTTTGCTTGTTGCCTGATAGTTAGTTGGATGCCGCAATATGGGTTTTACACAATTTATTCGAATCTTATAGGACTAAGGTAAAACAAACTAGTAGCATTCAGATCAAATCATGAAATCAGTGCATGATATCGTCGACTGTTGGTCTGAACCTCATCAGATATTACGAAGTTCTCTGATGCTAATCAAAATAACATTAAGGAATAGAAAATATAACCCGAAATCGACTGATGTGGCACAATGCTGTCAAGAGGGCGAAGTTTCATGATGCGGACGGATTTTGGATTGTTAAAACGAATGAACAGAATTCTGATCGATAGATAAAATACAACAATATGACTTGGCTAAATGATAGCTGCCCATGAGACAAAACTATAGACATGAGCCCCAGTTGTATGAATATTAAGATGGCTGGCTAGTAGAACATAATTCGTCCGATTAGTAACATGTTTATATACCATCGACATGAAAATCGCACAACTAAATATCGTAGGTGATTGGGGACAATTCAACCAAGGCCTTTTTCCATCATATCAAATACATTCATTCTTCTCCTTACTTTCATTTTTGAACACCTTACTGTTCTCTACCTCTCGTTCTCTAATTTTATTCATTAGTCTTGGTCGTTTCTAGTTTTTCAAAGGCGTCTTAGGGAGTGATAAGTAGTGTCGATCTAAGCCTATAAAGGCTTTTCTTAAGACTAAAGGAGCCTCAGCTGTTAGACCCAAGTAACCTACTTATCATGGAAACTGACGCGTCCGAGATTCCAGCTGGATGTTAATCTCATGTGTTGTCATATTTCTATGCATTGATTGCTATAAATTACGTCTCCGAACACAACACGAAACACTAGTCGAAGAAAGTATTGAACAGGCACGCTGTTATGAAAACAGAGTCACTTCGTTTAGTTCAAGTATAATTTATCCTAATGTTCCACCGGAATAAGCTTCCCTTTTTCCAACATCTCGGTTTATATTTTTAGCCAATCCACCATTCACATGCTTCGGTTTGTGCGCCCGGGCAGTATCCTAGCCCTCACATAAATCATTCGATTTGTGTGGTGCATATGTATTCGGTGCCTCCTTGTACCAATGTTTATGTGTTTAAATAAATAAATATAACTTCCACCATCCAGCAGGTAACCAAAGATCAGTGAGGGACGGCCTACGTAATCCAAATTATCAAGAAAAGCAAGCGCGATTACAATGAAGCCTATCGAATATGTGCTCGTCATTCTGTACTATCCAGAGTTCCATAATCGTTGATTTGTCACGTTGCAAAATGCCTGTCAATAAACATAACTAACTCAGCAGTCAGATATCGGATGTGCATTTCTAGCTAATCTGACGCTTGTAACTCGACAAAGGATTTTTAGTCAGTTTGATATCGAAATATTTTGTTTAACTTTCACTAGATTCGCTCAGCCTCTGATTAGGAAATGAAAATATATTATCTATTCTTCAGTCGTTAAGTATAAGACCGTATCCAAAAGTGAGTTACATGAATAGAATATGACCTTTGGTTCCTTACTTACGAGTGTAAGAAATCAAAACTGGTCTTTTATATGAAACGTCTGTTGTCTATCTAAAGTAAATGACAGAAAATCCGTTCGTCAAGCCACAGTCTAGGAGTAAATTGGTATGTTTCTGAAATATTAAGTTCACTAGCTAAAGTCCAAGAGCTGTTACATACTAAAAATTAGTTTCCATATAGATTCGAGTACATCATCAGCACCAGTTGGTGCTTATACAGTGATAAACAATAAAAACTTCAAGATTAAACCACCAAACTCACAAACTACACCACCATTAAAACAATTCATTTAAGCTAAAATCCATCTCAATATGCAGTACTGGCTGGGAAATCTATTTGAAAATCCCGATGATAATTAGATCGAGACGTGAGAGCCATCTGTAGCACCACTTACTGTTGGTTTAAATCGTATGATGAGTACCAGACATCTGGATTAGGAATCTTACGTCAACAGAAACTATTCATTGGAGGTCTGAGGTAGAATAACTCACCTTTTATCAGTGAAATCTTGACCATTTTTATATTTTCCTTGTTTGTCTAAGTATATCGTACACTATTATAAAGGAAAAAGTCCAGAAACATACAGACTGGACCAAGGTGATCTAAAACAATGTCTAATTTTCAAAACGAACTATGTTGTTGATGGATAATATAAAGGTCGTTGACCTTTTACTTTATCTTATTTTCAAGAAATATATGACACTTGTTTCTCCAGATGTTCAGTGATCAAGGGAAAGCGATAGCTTAGTGTAAAAAGTAATTAATTGTTGATACTAGCAGCATACAATCTAACTTTTTTGTATGGTTTCTTTTAGCTACCAAGAGGACGCCATGAAAATATCATCATGGAAAATTTCGATGGTTCTCGAGTGACGGAAATACTTACTACTCTTCGACTTGGAAAATCCTTTTACGAACGAATATCAACACTGATAAGCCTTGACCTTGGTTACGATCTACCATCAGAAGACAGTAACCCCCATCATGTTAAGTTGTCTAATACCTTACATCCCGACTGGCGTGTTTTCGTCTACGTAAAGGATCGAACACAATTAGTCGTGGGTTGTTGCATTGTTGAGGAACTAACTGCAAAGAAGATATCAGAAAAGGGTTACAAACTGAACAGACTGATTGGTGGACGGAAAAGTCTCTTATCTTGGAGTATTCAGAGTGTCGACCGAAATGGCGATCAATGTGATTTAATTTCCTCAAATCCCGGCCTCTCTTGTGTAAACATTGACGGACCAATTTGTGGCATTCGGCGAATATGGGTAGAACGTAAATATCGTCGGAAGGGAATAGCCACAAGTTTATTAGATGCTGTGCTACAAAACTTAATATATGGTTTACCACTCTCTCGTACACAAGCAGCTTTTTCCGAACCAACTGCAAATGGCGCAGATTTTGCTGTATCTTACATAGGCCGAGAAGACTTCTTAATATACTGATTTTATATTTTTATAATGGAAACTTGGCACTTGCAGTTATTTATTCTAAATTTATAGAGTAAATTATATATTCACTGTATTCAGTTATTTTGAACCAGGAAAAAGCACATGCCATTGGTAAATCGCACAATTTACTTCGTTCACAGAATCATGATGAACCTGTTACCGTTAAACTAGTTGCACTTGACTTGCTAACTTAGTAGTCTAACTTTGGTTTTACATGTTCATTCATCAGATAAACAAAACTTGTGGGACATTTTATCTATATCTTTTTAAAGAATCATTTGTCAGGCACAGATTTCGTACTCGGTCTAGTCATGCCTTAGGTATGAAGGTTATAGATATTATACGTCTACATAAATTAAAGTAGAGTTGAATACAAAACCTACTAGTTGTAAGCAGGATCTGTTAATCACTAAGCCACCGCCCCATATATGTTGAACATAAAGGTAAACAACTGACATACAAAACAAAACTGTACCAAAAGAACCCTGAACTCATGCAATGGAGAAGTCCTGTGTATTGTTAAAAAAAACTTCAAAGACTGCTTTACCATACTAACGCGTAGTCAGCGAAAACTTAACGGATATTTGTCAACAATAATGTGGTGAGAACAATGTGCTCTTTTGTTATAGAGAGGCAAAAATCACTTATTATTGGAGTAAGAGTGCTAAAAGAAGTGAGCTACTTTAGATAATTGAATATCACAATGGTGGTTAATAATGCTCAACTCAAGCACTAGGTTGTAGGTTCGAAACCCCAAATTTCGTCGGTAGTTAGATAGTATTACTAGTATCTGAACAGATTCAAGTGCTTGACTCAGTCTAAAACAGGATAATCAGCTGATGTTTTAATTGGAGGGTCGGGAGAAGATGAATTCAGTGTAGGTTACTGGTTTCACCAGATACAGTATCGCGGCGTAGGCAAGATCAAATTACACTTAATAGTGTGTTGGAAAATTATTTACACAACTTTTAGCTTAAAAAGCGGTCCGCTCGTGATGTGAATACTATCAAGAATATCTCCTTTCGGTTTAAAATCTTTACTAGCTTTTAAATGATCTACGGAGAAAGCCTTAAATCATATTGAGTAATATTTAGTCTTTCATAAGGTAAAATCCTAAAGTCATTCATAGCCTACCAATGATTAGGAATTTTGAACATATTTGTAATATATTATAGAGTAGTAAAGCTGCTCTAGTCGACTCTAAGTACTTCATTACTCACATTTTATTGGCAAATAGTAAAACCTGAAACAATCTTTAGTAGTTCAATGTACTTGCTTGCCTCTACAGTCAGTCAGCTACAACCTAAGGTCAGGCACATATGTGCATTGGTCCACGTTGCCATACCTCATTAGCACATCAAGATGAACACTGGATTCATAGAAGTAGTAAATTCAATGGTGGTAATATATAAAAGAAAGATTGCATATAAGGATACAGTGCAGGAAGAAAGAGTTAGTTGGTAGAAAGAAAGATATAAAGCAATTTTAATCGCACAGTTTAAGAGAGGACAAAGAGTGTATACACTTACACTATTGTGATCCATTATCAGCCATGTCACCAAGAGTCTCCAACCACTGGTTACGATAGTCACACGGACCCCAACCAAGTGGTCTGCATCTACAGACATGACTAAGACTAGAAGTTAGTGACTTCAAGCACTGGTGCCATGCTCTGGCCGCCCCTACACTAGTCAGCATGCGCGTCGTGGTAATCGGTGTTCATGTATACATAACCCAACCATCTCAGTCGATGAAGATTCACAACCTCATCAACTGATTTACCATCACTCCCTAATACCTTGCGTCTAGCTTCACTATTACTTACCCGGTGATCCCCACAGATGCGAGCAATATTTCTAATGCATCTGTGGTCAAATACTAGTAACTTACGATTATCTTCAACTCTTAATGGTCACGTTTCGCAGCCGTAAAGCGGAATGGAACGAACTGTCGCGCAGTATACTTGTCCCTTAATTGATAGACGGATATCTCGCATTCGCCATAGGTGACGTATGTTGACAAGAAAGCCGAAGGAGCTTTTCAAATCCGTGCTGAGATTTCGTCGGACACGAACCCATTATGGCTGATCAGACTTCAAAGGTAAGTGAGGTTGTCAACGCGTTCGACTACTTCACTCCCTATCTTTAGTTTAGGTGTTGATGCAGGCCAGTCCTGGAGCAACAATTTGCATTTAGAAGGAGAGAAGCGCACCCCAAACATTCTAGTATTGTTGCTCAGAGCCACTAGAAGACTGCATTTAATCAGCGTCTTCACGAAACATGACTAAATCATCTGCGTATTCTAATTCGATAGGTTGACCTCCTGGTAGGAGATCAATGCACGAGGATTCAGTCGACGAGAGCGTTATTTCCATCAGTATGTTTATGATGTTGATCAAAAATGGAGATGGTGGACAGCCTTGATGGATACCACCTGAGGTTGCAAAATCAGATGAACGTTGACCATAAGCTTTGATTCGACTAGTGGTGTTCGAGTAAAAAGCCTTCACAAGGTTTGTGTACTTCTGGGGTACGCCTTTCAATGACAGACACTGCCACAGAATCTCGCGGTCTACAGAGTCAAATGCTGCTTTTAGGTCGTCGTCTACAAATGTAGATGAAAAAGAGGATGACAGTATTTTTAGTGCAATTGTACTTTATCAATATTCGCGGGAGGCATGACAATTAAGAAGTTTTAGAGCCGACCTTTATGCTCAAACAGCTGGACGTGGTTTCGGAACTGCTTTGGTAACCAGAATCGCCCGAGCAGCATTCCAGCCCTCAGACAAATCAAATAGTTTGTGTGGAGTATATATATTTGGTAATTTCTTGTACCAATGTTTATGCGTTTAAATAAATAAACCGGAAGCGAACCAAATGTTTTGAACTTTTTCTCTCCAATTCAATGTAACTGAACTATTTTCCTTACTGAAGGACGAATCTGATTAGTCTCCATTGGTGTATATCAAACTGAATTTTATACTGAACGAATTTCTTATTGGGAAAATCAAATGTGAACAAATTCGCAACTTATGTTAGTGTCTGCATATTCGGACATATCCCCCAAATTGACGGCTAAACGGACAAATTCCCAAGAGTGAAAATAATGTTAATAATTCAAGACCCTTCAAAATAATCAATAAACAAGGAACTTCCAGTGTATTACGCTTTAATCGACATATAATTGCCTTTTTGACAATAAAAAACATAATAATTATTATTGCATTTCTCCCCTTACTTATGTCTCAGATTCTCATGATTTTATTCATAATTGCTCATGAAATCAATTTATTTATTTTTGCACATCTATTACCTCTAATTATTGTGACAAAACATTTTACCTCATTCACATTACAGTTCTTTACTAGCTTATTAAGTCGATTGTTATTATTCATATTGCGTAACCTAGTGTTATAACCTTTCGACTGTATTATCACGGTCATTTCTTGTTCATACATCCTCACGAAACTAATACTTCAACATAAAAAATTTCATATACATATACTTAAAGCGAACAAGAACGAAGATAATATGGATTCATTTTATTTCGTCAGGTTCTCATCAGCTGCTTACAACCTATAATATTTAAAATCAACGTTATTACAGATACTGACATACTTATACATACAAGGGTGATTAGAGATGAATATGTGTATCATGATGTAGCGAATATTCCGATAAAGTTAATAAGGTCATAGAAAATTAGTCTTTTAATATGATGGGGATCTTTAAACGAATAAAATATCTTGTTTCAGATAAATAAAGTTTGAGAGGGAAAGTTCCAGAACATTGAAATACTGACTATAATTCATTGAGTTAATAAACATTAAATGATCGTATAATGAAGCAACGAATATTAGATTAATGGTAATAAAGAAAGATATGAATTGAAATCAGTCACTTAGGAATGGAAGAAAAATGACAGTGCTGTAATCAAACTTCAGAAAGGGTTGAAATTATATGTATATATAGGATGGTATAGCTTGAAGATAAATTCGTTGGAAAGAGATCTCTTCCCTAAACTTCATGTTTTAGCAATAAAACGATTTAAACTGAATTTATGCGTCCAAAAAGAAACAGCCATCATTGTTTTCCTTTGCTGTCATCGTTTTTATGAGATTGTTACGTAGGATTCTTTCCCGTGACCTTAATTACAATTCCTAATATTCTCTGTCTTACTTCTGAGACTTAGCTAATTTATACTTTATAAATACTACATAAGCTATAGCATAAATCTTGAGTTTCTAGAAAAAACTCTGTTGTCATGCTCTTCTCGAATATTATACATTGAAACTGCAAATAGACAAACGTTTGATTAAATCTTAGTTCTTCCACAATCATTGTATTAAATGTTAAACAATTTTATTTAAGCAATTTCCAATATAAAGTTTGTGTACTTGTTTCGTTTTTAATGAGTAGTACTATTGTTTTCAGGTTTTAAGCAGCTACGAACCCACGAAATGATTGGATTCATGTTATTCTGTCACGATTTTGTTCTTTATACAAAAAATCTAGTGAATTTAATTCACACATCATGTTTCTTATTTCTAAACTTCCTTCATATTTCCTAATAAAACCATCTTGAATATTCTACAACTATCACCGAAAATCCAAGTAAAACTTCGATTTTTAACTTCTTCTACATTGCAAATAACTTATTTGTTGTTGATTGACAACTCTCTTTCTAATTCAACATAATGACTCATGATCTTAACCACTGAAATTACTACAATCTCCACAAAAACCCATCTGATAATGTTAATAGTTAAAAATACCTAAACTTATAAGCTGAACAACAGACGAGGTACAATGAATTCATCGTATTTTGTAAGTACTGTTATTTTTATTTTGTTTAAGTTCTTACTAAGTAGCTTTGGTAAACTTTCTATTAGTTGCTTTGTCAGCTACGACCACTTTAAAAGTTATATGGGATTGACCTGCGCAACTATAAACAGTCTTTTTAGGCAAATAATGAACGATGATCAATAGTAGTTACTCGGTTGTGGGTATAATTTGCAATAGTAACAGCAGCTATGTGTCAAACGACTGACGAGCAACACAAAAAATGAAACAGATTCACAACAAAAGTATTCAAATCAAATAATGTTCATTTTGTGCTGTTTCCATAAACAATTGACTGGTGAGCAGTAGTCACCCGTAAATGTTAACCAGATAATGTTTATAAAAGGAAAAAAATTGATGTATAAACTTGTTCATTTTATTTTGAGTCCTTTTTTATTATACACACACATCATAAACTACATAACTTACAGAAAGAAAAATATACTGAGAGATAAAAAGTATTTACATCTTTACATAAGCGTTGGTATTTACTTTATCTTTTCGTTTTTGAGCTGTGACATAGCAAAGGCTAATTTATGTTTCTATACAAAAAATCGGAAAAAATATCAACAAAATAAAATATACTAAGTATAAAACAAAACTACTTGCGGTACATTATTCAAATAAGTTACAAAAAACTTAGTATTACTGAGCAATTTGAGTAAACAGAAAGGTAACAAAAAATGTGACTATTATTGAGATCACGAAGCGATCTAAGCTAGACAACTATTGGAAGCCTAAAATCATGAGCTCACTAAAGACTACGTTTAAAATGGAATTCGCGGAGTTCTAGTGAGAAATTGTGACCAGTGGAGTTCAACCGCGCTTCATTGCTTTCTCATTGATCTTGGTGAATTGACTACATTTTTGATTAAATCTAATGTAACTCATTAACCAATTACAAGTTCTTGAACTTTTACTACGGTAATTCCATTTATGTGGGGGTTATTAAGATTACCAGTGATTCTAGAGTGACAGGGTAAATCCCGTAACCCATTGATTTTAAGTTGTGTGACTCAACTACTAACCCTTTTTTGTTGATGGGTTAGTGCTGACGACTACTCATAATGAGTATAAAACCCACTCAGTTTTTGTTAACCTTCACAATTGCTGGCGAACGTGAGATGTTTATTCTTCTGGTGAAGAGTGAGTATGATAACCAATAGCCTATTTTTATTCCTTTTCGGGTGTGAAATATGGCATTTAAAAATAAAAGTTGTTGGATTGACCTATTTTAAACCAAATCAGTTAGATTTCGTCTTGCTCTGAAAGGGATATTTTACATCCATCAAGTAAGAAAGGACAGACGACTGTACGCTGTACTTACTCTTCGACATACGAAAAAGCTCTATCTGCACCATAGGCAAGATTTCCTGGCAACTGTACGCCTGAGAGCGGGATGCGACGGAACCTTTCTTGTTTTCAGATTAAGTATTTTTTAAGATACACATAAGAAACTAAAAACTCATGTCAGCTAATAATAAGCAACACAAAGCTAGTCTCAATATGAATCGGTCTAAATTGCTACACTTCAATTCACCATAGAGAAAATTAGTAAAAAATATGAGAGTGGGCTCTACAGAGAGCTGTTAAGCTCCCTACTGAAAATTAAACACAAAAACGTTAAAACCTAAGCAAGTGATATCAATGTACAAGGGAATTCAAAGATAAACAAGAGGTTCAATTGATAACCATGTGTGTTTACATCTGGTTCTGTTTAGAACTTCAACTATAAGGGCTGACAAGAACACCATTCTGACCCACGGAAATAATAAAAGGAAAGGTTAGGTTGAACAAGATACGTAGACCGAATTGCCAAGAAATTAACCCAGTTTAGTCACACTTAACCAACCGAAAGTTTGCATTTGTACTGATTAAAAGACGGAACAACATTAAGAGGTTATTAGGTTTTCGCAGGGATTTGTAAAGTACTTAACACTGGGATCTTTGAAATTTGAAGGGTTTTCTTGTAGCTTAGATTCCGTAAAGCCAAATCATACAACAAAACTGACTATAAGATAGAAATCGCTTTAAAGTACTGATCAATAAGACTGGTCGGAATGGATCAATTAGATGAGTGCGACATGTATACCATCAAGTTAAAATATTTCGAGAAACATCTTAGCTTTTTCAATTAAAAGAACTTATATACATGATAATAATAAATACCAAGGCTCAGAAAACTTCGAACACTTATCTTTGTTTACAAATCTATTATCTATAAGTATCATTTCAAAAAGTTTACAAAGCTTTATTTTAACTTACCTTTACAGCTGCTAAAATTAATTCAACATCTGAACGAATGTCTTTGTCAGGTATTTGATATATAAGTCTTGGAGTAGATGGGGATAGTGTAACTGGTTTCTTTCGAGGTTCAAGATTTGGACTAGGAAGATAATTATCATATTGATCAAAAGACTTGGTATATTCTTTTTCTGAATCTAAATTATACATGAATAGAAATATCTTAATTTAAAATAAAGTGCATCATTAGAGTACAGATGGATTATTAGAGCTGAAAAATATTTCAGATGTAATCCTACAATCCAAGAACTTGTGTCGCAAGATGATCTTACAATATTAATACCGTGCAAGAAATGCTTTAAAATTGTAAGGCATAACCTCACCACTAATCTACCTCACAAAAAATCGAGTCTAAATTGTGCCAATAAAAATGTGTATATTTTATACATATGACAAAACGAACATTACAAGGTAGGCAATATCATGGTGTCAAGTCTTTGATCCAACAGATGGTCTTAATCGATCAATATACATAGTATAACAGTCTACTCGACAATTTTTCCCCAATTTTATTACTGAGTAAATATTTTACTGACAGTATTGATAGTAGTCATTTTTCTCTCGTTTAAACGCTTAGTTGTGTAACTGTGATGTTTTATGGCTTCAACTAACAGGAAAATAGCAAGTTAAAGCTTTTTAGTCCCTTAATATATTGACAATTTGCGGTAATCCACACGATTCGACGTGTTTTGTGCTATATTGTAGTTCACAAGGTTTGCCACATCCCTTTCGTTGGCAAATGTTGATTAAATAACCCATGACGTGCATTAATCAAACCCTTAAATAATTTTTCGTCAAGGATGACATTTTATAGTTTTTTTTCATTTCTTCGACACTTTGTTTGTATGGTTAGCATTGGATTTATCTAGTGTACGATCTTAAAGTGAAGATTCCAATTTCGCTACATCATGATATACATATTCATCTCTAATCACCCTCATAATTATAAGCATGTCAATATCTGTAATAACGTTGATTTTAAATATTATAGGTTGTAAGCAGCTGATGAGAACCTGAAGAAATAAAACGAATTCATATTATTCTGCACTAATCTTCGTTCTTACTCTCTTTAAGATACATATGATTTTGCTTTCGATCAAACTTCGATGTGATTGGAACCTAAATGAAAGTTATTGTCGTCAGATTTACCAATCCCTTGCTATATTTATATCAGCCAATTACAACAAACGAACTTTACTAATTGGTGTCTTTTAGGAAATAAAAAACCAACTATAGTTCATTGGTCAACAAAACGTTACATAATAAAATTGAATCGCAATTTTAATGCATTAAAAATTAAAGGATTACACAGACAATTATGACAATCCTAAACACCTAATTCTTGAAGCTGAGATACATCAAACTTCGCAGAACGTTATATTACACGAAGTGGGGAGTTAATGGTGTATTTTATACTGAGTTGTCGCATCCATTGTGATCCAATAACGAATGATAATTATTAATGCCACTTTTCGGAAATGTTAAACTGATTTTGAAATCGGTTTGACATAGTTTGAATAGAAAAGTGTCTTAGTTATGATGTCTTTTAAAACAGTTTAAGACAAATAGAAAGATATTAAAAAGACATTATCACTTTACTTCTACTACTCTGGGTTTTGTCCTGATAACTCGATCTTACTTTGCTAAGGGGGTATAGTAGCTTTAACTGACCCACATATGTCCTAAATCCAACGTAGCAAGTGACTGACTGATCAACTCTTTACTAACTTATAGGAAATAATTTAAGCAAAGTAATAACTTAATTGTAAACATAATTATTTGCAGAGTCCAAGGTAGAACGCAACAATTTTTTTCGGTTTTATTACTAGCTGTTACAAAATAATATAAACATATTCTTTATCTACAATCCAATGACATCGATGGTAATTGGCTAAATATGGATCAGGGCATTACGAAATTCTTACCATACCAAATAACGACAGGATAAGAAGTACTATGAAAACAAACAAATAAATAATAACCTATTCGAAATCCAGTTTATTATTAGTTTGATAGTGAAGTAAATTGCTACCGAGAGATACTGTCACTTGTATTACAAATATATCCACAAACTGGCGAGAGATTGTAAACGTTGAAAAGTTATGATAATTTGGACGGGGTTTAAGAAGAAAACTAAATGGGGTGAAGTGTGCAGTTCATTTAATACACTTTAAGTACTTTTTGACAAATGGCTAAATAATATTGTTTCCAAAATATATACACCATAGAGTAAATTAGATCGATACTCTCACCTTTAGAAGCTTTTCTTTGGTGAGCAGCTCGTTCATATTGAAGTTTACATAAACTCTCTTGAAGACTTAATCGAATTTGTTCTTCTGCTGCTAATAATCGCTCATTAACGTCACACTGAATGATTTGTAACTCGTTATCCAACTCTTTGTTAGTTATTTCCAAAGCGAATTGCATTCTATGTTTTGCCACCTTAAAAAGATTGTTTTAGGGAATACTGTCAAAACATAATAAGACACCTTTAGAAACGTAAAAAAGTTCTTTCTATCCTTAAACTGTGAAATATTTGAAAAAGAATGTGAAAATCTGATTGAACATAGATGATGTGATTCAGTCTTATTCCACAGATATACAGATATAACAACTGTAAAATATGCAAGGACATATATGGTACTTACAATAGTTACCCTTCTGAATGATCAAATTAAATGTACAACTACATTTGTTGACCTATTTTATTTCGAAAATACGTCTAGTAAGATACAAAAATTTGGTGACGTAAAGTATTCTCTGACTAGTCTAAACGAATACCTACAATACTACTTTAGTTAGTTCCCAATCCCAAATTAGCACAACCTACAAGCAATGAAATCCCAACCATGACACTTTCGAAACAGTGTAATTTTGGACAGACGATAGTTTTCTACTTGAAAAACGACAAGGATAATTTACGCTGTTAGCGGAATATAGATTGAATTAAAGCACGTTCCGTGTAGGATTATACTGGGGCACGCTGACTGGCTATTTCTTATCTAATCGGCGCTAGTGGATAACTGGAGAAGACTCTATAAACTATAAATGTACTAAGGTTTTCCTTATTGAAATTCCTAATTCCATCTACCCTTGTTATTTGGAATATAATTTCATTCCTGTTCAACCATGTTCTGATTTGGAGGCTTGTCGAGTGAAGTAGTATCCAAGAATACTAAGCAATAAGAGAAGCTGGGTCGTAATAAGAGAAATTATAACATGAAAATACATTCAAGATACCGATATCAGATGACCAGCTCATATGAATGCTCCAACAATAGCAAGCACAACTCGATGCATAAATGCGATTATTGGAGACTCTGACGCAGCAGCTCAACATCCACTGCGCGAGTTCACACGCTATTTCAAGTAGTTCTTGTGATGTAGTTGCTAGCAGCGTTCCAGAGTCCAACAATGACTCCAAAAGTGGAAATACTTTTCTCACGTGGGTCGAGCGTTGGAAAGATACACTTACTAAACATATATGGTAAATTTTCATTGCAACCACTTCTATTTATGTACAGATTATGAAGAATGTAATTCAAAAGAATCAAATAACATAAAGTCTTGAAATACGCAAAAAACTGCTTATTACAAAAGTCATCAAACTATGTGTCTTAGTGATGATAATGACTTTTGTGTACTCTAATCTATCAGTTGCATATAATGCAAAAATATATGACGTTTGAAAAATGTAGCGAGATTAGATGAGTGAGAAAATAATCAGTTTATTTGAGAATGGAAATTGGCAGTTAGATCACACAAACATGAAACCAAAACATCTGTTGATCTCTTTCGTCAGTGCAATATGATAGCTTTTGTAGGAGGCGATAAGGTTAGCGGAGGTCGATAAACTTAGTTATAGTATTAAAATACACTATTTATAAGATTGATTATCAGTGGACAATCAAATTTTTGAATTCATTAAAGAGTTCATAAAACATAATACTAATTATTGTCAGAATGGAATGAAAAGTTCTTCACTATCTTTGACCAATTAGTCTTTATTTGTGAAGATTGTTATCATATCTTGATATAGTTTTAGGAATGATTAGTAAAGTGAAGATAACAAACCTGTAATCGAATTTTATACGTTTCTTCAACCAAGGATAAAACATGAAGAAATTCAGGTGCAGTACCCATTTTCGCTTGATTTAATTTATTCTCTACTTGCATTATACGTTCATTGTATAGTGACTCTTTTGCTTGTTTGAATTCCCACTCCAACTCTGAAATCTCAGATTGCAGTTCCTTTTTCAAACACTCGATCTCTGTATCTGTGATATCTTCAGATATGTTTTCACTACGACAATCCGGTTCCTGGTAATCTTCTTCATTTAAACGATCGTCATCTATCTGGCCATCATTAGCTTTAGAATCCTTCAACCCTTCATCAGCCATCACAAGGTAAAAATACCTTGAAAATGTTTATTTATGACTGTTAATTGATAGTTGTGTAGAACACAAAATAACAGCTAAAATGGAAACAGCTGTTTTACAGCTGATGTTACCGTCCCAATGAACAATAATCCATTGACCAGAAATTCTTTTGACTGTTAATACAAAATTCGACAGATAACATCAATCAACTTTAGTCTAAAAACAGTTCTCGTGAATTTACACACTAAGATTGTAGCAAATATATCAAAATACTAGTGATAAGTTAGGCTACAACAAACAGCAATAGTAGATCCTACGTGAAATAGCTCAGAATGCATCTTTTAAGTCTTGAATATTATGTTACTTTAACTTACTCTCTATTTTTGACCTATGTTCTTATCGCTCACTCACTATTATTGACTTTTTATCTACCTACTTTTGAAGAATGTGACAACTTGATCTGATGCACTTCAAGTCTGAAAAATTGGTCGTTATTCTAAATTTTGTTAAGTGACTGTCAGCACGTAACATAACTATCTAAATTAAAACAAAGGTTGGCCAGGATAGTGAATTTGTTTATGGTTCTGAGGCAAAAAAGGAGAATCAAATATAGTTACACTTTCTGAATGGAGTGAATATCAGATAACATACAGAAATCATAGAGTGAATCATAGAACACACAACTCCTAGCAAGCAAGTAATCTAAATAATTTGGTGTAAACACACATGCACTGAAGCTAAATGAAAAATGATACCCATTTCACTTCGTATAGTTTCTAAGACCCTTGATGATAACTACTGTAATAATATTCCGACCGAGCTTGTGTATGATAATAAGCGAATTCGGGGACGTAACACTTCCATTTTGAAAAGACAACTCTAAAAGGTGAATATTAAAGTATTTAAGTTCCACAATATTTTGAGACTGTTAGACTTTTGAAGAACGGATCTAACCCTCCGAAATTCGACACGTCTTTTAGGTTGTGCGGTTGCACTGAGTTAACATTTTTTACGTGCTTTGAGATACTAACTTCTAAGTTAAAAGCAACCAGTATGTATCACTTGTCAGCATAAAGATTCTCATGAACAGTAGTTCCATCCATTTACATACATTTCTGTCTTCATTATATTTTTCAAAAAGGAAAATCGTACTAAAAGTTATTACCCTAAAGCCCTTATTAATTATTCGATTACACAAATCCTTATTGCTAGCCTCGTAAAAATATACTTTCAATTGAGTATCAGGGTTCTAAACACTCGAAAGTTAAGCCAAACCAGATTGAATATATTGTTTAGAATTTTAGTGTACTCAGCAACAAATATATGTTGTGTTTACGGAACATGAGGACTACTTACTCAACCTACCTGGCTAATAAAATGGATCGGTATTATCCATTCTGTGGTCGCTAGTTCCAGTTGACCTGGTATGTAGAAGTAATAGTAAATCGTTGAGTGATCTTTACAAATGAATATTAAGAACCAACAGTTAAGAGTAGCTTTGTATCAGGTGGTTGGAGGTAGTATTCAGGAAGCCCTGTACCTTAGTTCCGAGCAATGTGGCAGTTATAAACATGAGGCACCTACAATCTTGAAATAATTCAGATTCCGATACTCGAATACCTCAGAACTCTAGATCGTTAATATTTCAAGTGTTTACAAATATTTAATTTGCACTTATATGGAATTGTTTCATCGAACTTTGTATATGATTTTGGAAGATATTTCGATATGGAATAAGTTACCCCAGTTAGAGGGAAGGTAGAAAAAAAATATGTATAAAGCACGAATATGACAACACTGACGATTGTTGCCCGAAGGAAATATGTGAAACCTTCCTTTGTAAGAGGATGTGAACAGTTTTATAATGCCATTGTTATTTACTTACGATGTTACAATGTAGGACCAGGAATAAATATACATCGGTTCTCTCGAGAGGTTGTCACTTGGAATCTCTTACCGCATATTCGTATTAAATAATCAGGATTCATTTTTAGCTATCGTATATCAAGTGTAGCTTAACATCTAACGCTTATTTATTTATTTAAACACAATCATTGGTGCAAGGAGGCACCAAATAGATATACATCACATAAATAATTCGATTTGTGTGAAGGCTGGGATACTGCCCGGGCGTCCAGGTCGAAGTAGGTGGTTTTTATAGTGGGCCACGCTGGAGACTTCAACCTAAAGTCCTAATCCAAAGGCATTGAAGCAACGTCATGAAATGCAGTCCCATGGTAGCCGGTGACCAACGATTGGTTTATACGCCATTTGTTCCATCAGGATACTGGAGCCCATGTGCACCATTGGTTTGGAATCAGCGGTTTCAAACTCCCCTAGGTGGACTCTCCGTGTCCACCAACCCGAGTAAAGCGCCGGACACTCGCTTTTCGTTTTCTCAATTTCGTAAACAACACCCGTAGTGCGAGAAGGCAGTGAGTAGGACTTCCCTGGTAGTGGTTGTGTGCAAGCATTTTGTGAGAGAGGGAGAGGGCTGACTCTCCCCACTCTCGGCTGTACCAGGGCATTTTGGGACATATCATTTGACACTATGGGCCCCCAAATGCCCTGGTACGACCGAGAGTGGGGAAAGTCCGCTCTCCCTCTCGAAATGCTCTCACATGGCCACGCGTATATAGCCTCTGCCAGGGAAGTCCTACTCACTGCCTTCTCGTGGCGGGGGTGTTATTTACAAAAATGAGAGGACGAGAAGCGAATGTCCGGCGCTTTAACCGGATCCCAAACTGATGGTGCACATGGGCTCCAGTATCCTGCGGGAACAAATGGCGTATGAACCAATCGTTGGTCACCGGCTACCATGGGACTGCATCTCCTCACGATGCTCCACTGCCTTGTGATCAGACCTTCAGGTCGAAGGCTCGGGGTGTGGCCCCCTAAGAAAACCACCTGCTTCGGTTTGGGCACCCGGGCAGTATCACAGCCCTCGCACATATCGAATAAGATTTGCGTGGCGCATATGTATTTGGTGCCTTCTTGTACCAATATCTATGTGTTAAAATAAATAAATAAATTTGACACTAACGACCGCCTAATATTAACCAATACTATGGTGTATAGACTTTCATACTGATCACACTTTATCGTTTAAGTTGATGAGGCTACCAATGTAAGTGAATTGACAGTTGAAGCATCAGTCATCTTGACTCTGGTGTCTCCTCATTTGCGGATTTCCGTGGGGGAGGCACAGTACAATGAATCTTAACTCATTTCTTCCAACTCCGTCTTCCAAACTGTTGTCGCTACCTTGACGTGGTGGTCGGGCTTGCCTATCGCGATGAACCAATCCAGCTATACTGGCTGGAACAGCCGTTCCTTAAAGTCCTACCATGCCAGACAGGTCGTTTGAAGGGCGGTAAAACGTAAAGCAACAAACCCAAGGTCCGAAGGCGAAGTCGTACTGCTGACTGCACAGAGGTGTGACAGTAGTAGGGTGTTTCCTTCAGACAACCAACATGACAGCAATAAGTATAAAGAGAGACATCGTCTAACATGGCGACCCCTGCACCAAATCAACGATGAACTCAAATAGACCATATTGCCAACTGCCATCGTTGGAGAGGGTCAAAGGAAGATTGTCGCTCATTCTGGAGTACCTGCTTGGACTCCAGCTATGCTCCAATACGAGCACGCATCTGCTTGCGCCTCACAGGACGCAAAAAAGCCACATCAAAAAGACCCATTAGAACTGAATTGAGTAGCGAGAAAACCAAAAGTAGGTTCCAGGAACAACTGAGGTAGTTCTGAAAACGAGGCTGACCCAGATGTTGCTTGGAAAGATATACAATCAGCTGTGGAAACAGCAATGACATCTGTTAGTGATTTAAACCATAGGGTTACAAAGAATCAATAGATTTCTTCAAGGTCTATTGCACTGATGGATTCTCGTAAACTCATCCCATCAGGTTTTGAACACCATGAAGAACGTAAACAAATCAGATCTAGGTTAACCAAAACTCTAAGGAACGACTGTGAGCAGTGGTGAGCAGCGAAAGCAAAAGAGATGGAAAAGGCGACGGGCTGTAGGTAATACAAGACAGCTCTTCAGACTGATAGAAGAAACTGGAATTAATAAGTCAAGTGTAAGTGAGACTATCTCGGAAAAAGACGACACTCTCATCTACTCCAAGTCCAGACGTTTAGAACGACGGGCGGAACATTTTAGAGAACAGTTTATCTGGCCTTCAGTTACTCTACAAATACCCATCATTCCCAGATAGTGTGAATGGGACATTGAAGAAGGTCCCCCAAATCTAGCTGAAGTTCAAAAGGCTATAGTTAATCTGCAACGAGGAAGGGCAGCTGATCTAGATTACTTTGAGGATGGTTGTCCAATTTTACAGATTAGGTTGACTAATATTTTATCTAAAATCTGGGAGTTGGACGTAATCCCATCTGACTGGTCACAATCACTGATCATCCCAATGTATAAGAAAGGGTCAAAATCATCCTGTGACAACAATAATGGGACTAGTTTGACTAACATAGCATCTAAATTACTAGAGTCAATAATTATCGGTCGCCTCACTAAGGCTCGTAAACTGCAAACACGAGGAAATTAAGCTGGCTTCACACTTGGTCGTGGCTGCATCGACCACATATTCACCATTCGTCAGGTTCTAGAACACAAGCATACTTATCGCTGAACGAAAATGGAGGTCTTTTTAGAACTAAAAGCAGCATTTGACTCTGTAGACAGCGGAATCTGTGACAGTTTCTGTCATTAAAAGGCGTACCTCAGAAGTACACAAACCTTGTAAAAGCTTTTTACTCGAACACCACTAGTCGAATCAGAGCTTATGGTCAACGGTCATCTGGTTTTGCAACCTCAAGTGGTATCCGTCAAGGCTGTCCACCATCTCCATTTTTGATCAACTTCAACACAGACAATGATAGAAATAACGCTCTCGTCGATTAAATTCTCGTGCATTGATCCCTACCAAGAGGTCCACTTATCGAATAAGAATATGCAGATGATATAGTCATGTTTCGTGAAGACGCTGATGAAATGCAGAGTTAAGCGGAGAGTTCTCTCTTCGGCGAATTCATTTTCAAAGCTGTACAATCGCAAATATATATTTATTTTTACAGGGTGATAATAATACTATTAATAAACTTCTGTTATACATGGTGACAGTGAGGTTAAATAAACAAAGGTATTAGAAAAATTTTTTTAAAACAAGGAAAGTTTAATAATCGTTTGATAGTTAATGTCTTAAGTATTCGTCGGGTAAGGATGGCTCAGCATGATAAAATAAAATGTTGAAACAGAGATGAAATGTAATCGGACTGGTCGTGGAAATAAAAACAAACCGGTTGGGAGTAGAAGATTTGAAGGGAAGATGGAAGGTGAAGCAGGTGGTTGTAAGGGAACAAGAGTATGAAGAAAGAGAAGAATTTTAATACACTAAGACCATGGTAGAAGAAGAGGTTGTACCAGTCTCTTTTGTACACATAATCTTGGTTTTTCAAAGTGTATGGCTATTGCTTCAGCAATGCAAAGAAGATGCAGTCTAATTGTTTTAGGAAGACTTCTACTTACCTTGTAGACGACTTTGAACGTAAAGTCTGTCTTGGTTGAGTGACCTGTTTTCACAAGGTGTTCGATTATAGACCTTTTTATTGAGCCGTTGTCTCCTATTTTTAGCCACTCCGGACAACGTTCTTGAATTTTTTCGGATAAAGTACGCATTGAACGACCTATATACCTAGCTGCACAAGAGCAGGTAAATTGGTGAGTGCACATTGAGTTGGTCAGATCCGATAATTTATCTTTCAGATTATTGGCGAACAGTGATCAGCTGGAGAATAATATTCGCAATGTTGCCGTGATGAATGTTCTTTTTAAGGAATCAGAAATTATCCTCTTTAATATGTGTGTGGCTCTATCACCAATGAAGTCGATGTTCATGTATAAAATTTTCTTTAATACTGTAATTATTTGTGGTTTCGGCGTTTTCGGCTTCATGTTCTTATCAATGAATATCGAAGGATACCTGTTTTCGATAAGTATCTCTTTTAAAAGAGCCAATTCTCCCTCCAAAACCTCGGAGCTACAGATTCTCCATATTCTTGTAGCGAGTGTTATTATTAAGTTTCTTTTTCTGCTGATTGAAACCCAGCTGTGGAAATTTAATAGTCGGCCATTTCACATGGGTTTCCTGTAGATAGATCTTTTTAAAGTACCGTCTTGCTTTCTTGTCATATCTACATCAAGGAAGTGAATATTTTGTTTGCTTTCAACTTCAAGTGTGAATTTTATTGATGGGTGACAATTATTAAATGTCTCTTGGTCCATTACTGGCAGATTGCTTCATGGTGAGTTTAGAAAACAGCCAACTCAAAAGAATTATAGAAAACCTGCACTTGTATAATAGGTATGTGGATGATATCTTTATCATTTGTGACAACAAATGTAACTTAAGTGATCTCCTAGAGACATTTAATAGTTGTCACCCATCAATAAAATTCACACTTGAAGTTGAAAGCAAACAAAATATTCACTTCCTTGATGTAGATATGACAAGAAAACAAAATGGTACTTTAAAAAGAGCTATCTACAGAAAACCTATGTGGAATGGTCAACTATCAAATTTCCACAGTTTGGTTCCCATCAGCCGAAAAAGAAAATTAATAATAACTCTCGCCACAAGAATACGAAGAATATGTAGCCCCGAGGTCGTAGAGGGAGAATTGAGCCTTTTAAAAGAGATACTTATCAAAAACGGATATCCTTCTATATTCATTGATAAGAACATGAAGCCGAAAATGCCAAGACCACAAACAACTACAGTAGAAAAGAAAATTTTATACATGAACATCGACTTCAAAGGTGATAGAGCCGCATATATCTTAAAGAGGAGAATTTCGGATTCTTTAAAGA